GTGAAAAAAGGTAAGCTCGCAACAACTCAACAAAAACAATTTCGTACCTGGCAGCTATATGGTCTCATTTCTTATTTTCTTTGCGCCCTTTCACAGCTGTTTGCCTTAGGCTGTTTACCTTTAAATATTTGCAACGTATCATAGACAATTTTGAGGATTTTTACAATTCGTGCATTGAATTGAAATAATGAAATCTACTTGTTCAAAAAATACAATTGTACCTAACTAGTATCTATAAAAATAAATATTTATAATATTCAACTCTTTACCCGTGACTTTGTCCATGTGACAGGGATATATTGACTAGCATATTTTTTTGTAAATTTTGTAAATTTTATTAATTTTTGCTTATATATAACCAATCTGAGTAAAAACGTTGTATTATCAATTATTTAAAAAAAAATTGTTTTTTTATTATATTTTATTTACACATATTTCAGTTGTGTTTACTTATATTAATTTATAGACTATACCAAAAAAACATATACACACACATATAAAGATAAGCAGTATTTTGCAATTCAAGCTTGGCTCATACACAAAGGCAAACATGTATTTTAATTAGCAAGCATCCACATTCATTAACGTGGATTACATAATAATCGTGATATCCCTTGAGAATTCAGAATACCTTACTTATTTGTATAATTCTCCGGGTTTATTTCGTAGAATAATATTAGCATCATTAAAAATGTATTCAACACACAATGGAGACAAAATTTTTGCATGTTACAATTAGCTAGTGTTGCTAGCAACAAAATGTATTTTTAAAAATATTTTCAACTAGTGACGCCACCTGGTCTCGTAGTATAGAATTGTCATTGTGTTGGTTGCTCTGTGTTCATAATATTTATATCATAATCAAATCAGCTGTTAACTGTCCACTGCTGAACATAATCCTCCCCCTAGGAGGTTTTCCCTGTAGTTGCCATACTTGGCAGGCGGATTGGCAACCGAAGTTAGGCTTTGGAGATGTTTTAAGAAGGACGCTGCTGCCCATCCCTCGCTTTCCCTTAGTCGCCTCTTACAACATCCATGAGAAAGAAGGGGGTGGCCTATTCTATGCCGGGACCATACGGCATTCATAATAGATATTTACAAATACATACATCAAATTTGTATAATCAGTGTTTTTAATCTACAAATACAATCCACGTTCTCAACAGCTAAATTAAAATATATAACTACCTCCGAACTATAGTAGTGAGCACGTTGCTTTGCGAAAATGAGCTCGCGAGTAAGATTCCCGAAACGAATTTTTCTAAATTGGCTCTAGTCTGAATAATCTGGATTGTTTACCGAGATTTTCATTGCCTGGTTCCTCATGATTGAATATACCAGCTTGAGATCCTATTGGTGTGATTATTATTATAGAAATTACTAACTGTTGTCCACGACTTTGCACGTGTGGTGTCATGTTCCTGTTTTAAGTAGATATTTTGAAATTATACTTGGCAAACTTAATGGACGCTTACGCTGTTAAATAAACCTATGTTCTAAATTTCAGCTTTCTAAACATAGTAATGTGTTAACAGTCAGTCAGGCCAAATGACTTAAAAAGTATACATTAATTAACAAACAGTAAAAAAACTGTCTTATTTAATTAAATCTATTAAATTTATTAAATTAACAGCGATAGATTCGGCCAGTTACATATTCTATTCTAAAATACACAATATCAATAAAAAAAATTTTCTGACTACCCCATAAAAGACTAAATTATTAAGTATATATTTATTTGTTTATTTTATATGGTTTTTCCAATCAATGTTTGATCAAAATACCCATTTCATTCATTATTTGCTTATCTTGTTTGCTTGCACATATTACGTTTATTTTACCTCACATTTTATTTATTTAAACATACTTCAAAAAAGATTGTATATTTAATTGTATTTTTAAATATATTTCCGACAAGCGATCCGGCCCGGCCTTACATGGATAAATAGAATTTTTGAAATGAATATATAATATTACTCTCTGATAATAACAATCAAATCGTTCCTCTTTATAACGTTAGTGTAGATTTTGTTTATACCTCAAAAGTAGCAAACAAGCATACAGCCCGTCGGATGGTAAACGGTCACTGTTTCCTATGGACACATGCAACCCTACAAACAACGGCAACACAACACACACACAAATATTACACTGAACATGAAACCATTTCAATGATCATTTCTTGTTTCGTAATATTTTTATAGTATAATTAAGGTTCGAGCCCTCACAAATAAATAGATCATTTGTAAATAGCATAAAAGAAAGTATTTGTTGTTGGGACATTACTAGCAACTTAGCTGTTCTTTTTTTCATATATTTAATAGTGTGGTAAGTTGTTAGTATTTTATATGTTTATATTGCCCTGTGGTCCAGACATAGAATGTACTACCTCTTTTTGTCCCATGGTGTCATAAGAGGCGACTAAGAGTTTTTAATGAGCAGCGTTCCTCTTAAAATATAAAAGCCTAACTGTGGTTGCCAATCTGCCTGTCAAGCGTGGCAACTATTGGCAAAACTACCCTTATAGGAAGACCTATGTCTAGCAGTAGACAGTTAATGGCTAATATAATAATAAAAAGTCCTAATATAAGAAAAAAGAATATTTTTTTTTTTTTTGTATTTGTTACCTTGAGGAAAGTTATTTAATATCTCGATATAATCCTTGGAAGATGCCGAGTGAAAGCGTGCTAGAATTATAAAATGTTTACAATTAATACCAAAGTCATATAACAATGAAGCAGGCGACAATGTTCAGTGAAAAATACAGTAAAATAACGCAAATTTATAGTAGTCCCGTGTGCAGTCAGCAATGAACAGTTAGAGGCTGATATGATGATGATGATGATGATGATGATAGTGTTGCATTCTTGAAACTTCGAAGGTAGGTTAACTTAGATTTGATCAAAAAATACTGTCAAAGCTGGCTATAGCTAAAATACCAATTAAAAGAAAAATGAAATAAAAAAAAATAGGAATGGACGATACTTCTAGATCAAAAGACGAATCGTATTGCAATGCGTGTAAGTCCGTTGAAACCGTAGAATTGCAAAAACCCTGGTGAAAACTATAAATAGACGGCCATAAATATGGTGAAAATACAATTTAGTAAAAGTGGTAGAGCATAATAAGTAAATCTTCATCATTTCAGCCATTATCCGTCCACTGCTAGACAATAGGTAAATGTAAATTGTACTGCTTTCCGCACTAAGCCTCTCATTTGGGCCTTTGTGCGTATGAGTCGTAGTACAGCCAGCCACGCTCCGTCCAGAAGCACAGGATCTTCCTGGGATCATCACAGGCCTCACAGAGCGACCTTACTATTTCGAGGATGTTTGGAACGACGATGTAATGAAAGTTGTGGGATAATAAAATAAATCAGAGAGAAAAAGAGAGTTGAAAGAGATTTATACAAAGGAGTTAATAAAAAAAATTACCAGAGGGAGACTTTGTACAAAAGTAGTTTGCTTGAGTACCTCTGTCCCATTCGTGTTTCAACTGAAAAGTAGTTTTGTTTGTATGGCTGTGTATCGGTTTGAAGGGTGGGATATGTCGTAAATTAACAGGGTACAGAGGAATAACGCTTGAGTCCTCAAGAATGGCAATGCATGGGGTATTATGGACGAAACAGTATACTCTGTTATGTACATGTTACTGCTCATGTCTATAGGCGACGGTTACCACTTTCCATCAGGTGGACCGTCAGCTTGTTTGCCATTCGAAGTTGTATAAAAAAAAATTGAAATGATGATATTAAAATTCAGACAAAAACAAAACTATAAACGTATTTTATAATAGTTATACTCGTACTATACATATTTCTAATGCAGTGATATCTAGTTAAGTGACTCATATAAAAATCTTTTACTAGCGTAATTGTTGTTTAAATTTCTCAATTAATAGTTTCAGACTAGATACATAAGAAATTATATTGATATTTAATTGTTATAATTTATACTACAATAATCCCCCTTATATGACGTTTATGTTCAGCAGTGGACAATTAACGTCTGATATGATACAAAACGATATTATAATAACGTTAACGTTATTACGACTTTTTATAATAGGTACCTGAGAGCCTACCATGAAATGTTTTTCGAAATTTCTCGGTCAAACAAAACAAAAATTTTATGTTAAAATTACATAATGCATACTGTTTAAAAAATATTAAAAATGTTGAATTTTTATAATAAATCCTATGATGAACGAAATGTTAAGCTTCATTTACTTGGCCAATTTCGGCATGAATGAAAACACGAAATTGACTACGAAAAATCGGAACTTCATTTCATAGTAGACCCCTGGTTATTTATCGATTATGGTTAAGATAAGTACGTTATTAAAAGGAATTTTTTTGTTTTTCGTAGACCTATAATTCTTAAAATCTTTCTAAATACTTCCATATTTATTTTGTGTTTACTTATTCATAGGCAATCATAATAATAATATTTATCGTCAAGTTAATTATAAATTGTAAAGCATTTTTATCTCTATAAATAAAAATATCAAATGCGAAGATTTTGGTTTCATTTTATTCATTAGTATACAAGTGCGAAGCCAGGGCGGAGAGTTAGTAGTATATAAAAAGGATAATAAATCTAATTAACTTCCATCAAGAAGCTACAACGCAGACAGTGAATTAGGTGTATATCCTTGTTACTCTCTTGTTTCGTAGTACAGAGCCTGAGTAGTAAATTATACGAAATTAATTATATTGTTATAATTCTGAAATAAAACATTGTTCACTTAACATAGTCTAAATACATAGAGAGTACACATAAAGCCAATACATTGTTTTCTTTAGCTATATTATTTATTACATTTGTTGTTTATTTACAACTCATATTTTATGTAAATAACAATTAAGTTTAACAATTGTTCATATACGCAATGAATACAGTAGTCAGAAAAAAATATTTAATTATATATAAACATATACAAATGTATATATATACACATATAAACATAAACCTGAAAAAAATTGTTATTTTTTTACCTACCTTACTACCCACGTGTACTACCAACCAATGTCCGCACTACACTAAACAATCACACAGTAACATTCAATTAGTTCACTGATCCGCGCACAAATTCGTACAGAGCAACCGCGGATTTCGAATTCCGAAATCGCAGGCGGGGCTGACAATCGTGTCAAGGCCGCAACGGATGCGCTACGATGTAGACGTCCGCACCGTAGCGGATCTCCCGCACGACAGCCTCACGTTGCTACGAGCTACGAGGGGAGATTCGTAGCCAATCGAACTGAAGCTGCGCGGTGTGGGATTATGCTCTGCTTTGAATTTTGATTATTTTTTGTAAATTTTTCCAAATAAAATATTAATGTTTTTTTTTTTGGGTTTTTTTACGGTAACTTTAACTTTACCATTTTCAAAAATACATAATTACAACAAGTGACCACTTATTATTATACTTAAGATACGGTAGGGCAAATAAAAGAAAAAAAAATACAATAAACTGTAAGAACAAGAAAACTAGCAATGAAATCCTAAAACTATAAAAAAAAAGAAAGGTTAATAAACGCCTTTAAAAAAAGACAATAATGCCCTTCACTGATATAAAAATAATAAATTAATAATTTGACTTTGACTTAATAAAAAAAAATAAAAAAAAATCGTAAGTTTTTTATCCAGTATATTTACGTATAAAAATTTTATATTGTCGTTCGCTTGTATATCTGTTTAAATAATTGAGCATAATTCAATCCGAGGTCAATGGAGATGAATAAAAAGGAGATAACATACTAGCTTTGGCAATATTGTATACGTGTTAGAGCGAGACAGTAATAATGCTGTCAACACCGGAGGTTAGAAGGAGACGGATATAGCCGATAGGGACAGCATGTAACGACAAAGTTTCTTCTGTGAATTATTGAAATGAATTATGTTTTATTTTGCTGGTCGCCTCTGCTGACGCTACTCTATTCTACTACATTATTTATTCCAAATTTTCAGATAGACTAATGAAGTTGCCTTGTCTTATGGGCTAATGGAATTAGGGAATAAATATGTACTTGTTAAATTTGTTTATTATTTCATAACTTTTTCTTTTTAGGCATGTTGAGTCAATTATTGGGGTTTATATCTCCATAACTATACCAATAATATCCTAAAGTTATTATAATTACTTTCGACATTTTTGATTCACAAATTACTAAAATAAAGTAAGTAGCGACATCTACTTCAATCCATGTTTTAGGTTTATTTTTGTCTTTGATCTTACATGTAATAAGCTTTAATGTCAAAGTAAAATATACTATGTTAATATGAGATACATATATGAAATACCTTACGGCCAGAACATACAATAGCTAATTACGAGTATAAAAATTTCGTTTCCTAAATTGACCCAACGGAGGAATAACACTTGAGTCCTCAGGAATGTCTCAGGAACTCTGTTATGTCCATGGTACCGCTCATGTCTATAGGTGACGGTTACCACTTTCTATCAGGTGAGCCGTCAGCTTGTTTGCCATTCTAAGCTGTATAAAAAAACCAACATAATATGGAACTAGGGGCTTAATAGACAAATACCTCAACTACTCTAATACGAGTACTACTTTGACTACTGCAGATTATATATGTATATATATATATATATATATATATATATATATATATATATATATATATATATATATATATATATATATATATATATATATAACCTGGAGTAGTGAACTTGTATATTTTCTTAGAAAAACTAAATAAACAAAAATTACGTTTATATATTTTCTTAAAAAAAAAGATATTAAATAAGACGCCATTTTGTCAAGAGCTCTCATAAAGTACAGGTATGTCGGTGACTACAAAATGCTCTCAGAGCAAATTAGTCCTAAGTTTTCGCTAGTGGAGGCAAAGTTGTCAAAAGTTACCGTGACAAATTATACAGTTACTAGTTTTTACCCGCGACTTCAACCGCGTGACCGAGATACACTAATTGACTGAGATAAAAAGAAACTTTCGAAGGTTAACTGCCAATATTTTTAACTAACACGAACGACTTTTACGAGATATTTACATCAAACATATTTACATTAAAAACTTTTACATTTATCGTATTAATATTATAAATGCAAAAACTTGTAATAATGTATTTTAAATGCACTAAAGAGACTTACCCTGCATAGAATAGGCCATCACTTCCTTTCCCGTGGATGTCATAAGAGGTGACTAAGGGAGAGCGAGGGATGGGCAGCAGCGTCCCTTTAAAAACATCAAAATCTAACTGCGGTTACCAATCCGCCTGCCAAGCATGGCAACAACTGGCAAAAAGGGAAAGGAAAGTCTTATGTACAGCAGTGGACAGTTAAAAGCTGATATGGTGATGAAAATGATCTGGACTTAATTTTTTAATTTTTTTTTCAGTTATATAGGCTACGGTAACTATATACCATCAGGTGGGCCGTAAAAAAAAAAAAGATGATCTGGACTTAATTACTTTTTTTTTTCAGGTATATATAATACCAGCCCCCCTAGATAAGTGGTATGTGAATCCATAGAAGGATGGTTATCGAAAGTGAGTCCATGAGTTGGAATGAGACATCCGACGTTCTATCTCACGGACCCGCTAGTGATGTCGATTCCATCGACGAATTCGCTTGCCGCTTGTCTAGAGGACCCGCTTCTTTATTGCTGACGTTAAATTCCTATAGTGTAATAAACATGTGTAAAAAACGCGAAAGTTTAAAATTAACTTTTGTAAGGATGATTAGATGACTGTTTGTTACTCTCTAATTTAATTAAAGGATATTTTTGATCTGCCTTTTAATAAATTTATAAATCACCTATTGGACAAAGCCTATTCACACTTATCGATTACTTGATAGACAAATACGCAAGATGCTAGTCGACCACGCATGAGCTTTTAAATGACCGTGTAATTTTAGACACGGTACATTTAAATAAATATACATAATGTTAACACAAGATTAAAAGAGTAACTGTTGAGTTTCTTGCGGGCTTTTTCTAACAGATAACAACGTTTCGAACCTTACATTTGTTAGGTTTCTAAACTTAAGAAATAAGGGAAATTAAGTCTTATAGATATTGTACTGTAATATATTATATAGTTCGAGAGCGAAATACATATCAGAATGGCCGTGTTAGATATTTATTTAAAATTATATTAATTTTCTCTCAAAAATTGTATTATTATTTATAATATTTAAAATACTTATATAATATGATATGTAGGGTACTAAGTAATACTAACTTTAAATGTATATAATATATTCTTTAGCAATATAAAGGTTGTAAACCTCTTAGTGATAAATAGAAATGAAACACAAATACTTATAGTTCATTTAATTTAGATATCATACTATTAAATCATATATTTACTTATATTACTTTGTATATGGGATATAATAAATAATATAACATAAATACCCAACTTCTGTTAATCTATTGACACTTATTTAACTATAGCTTCTTTAGGACTTCTATCAACAATAATATAATATATTTTATATAATGACCACGTGGTTTACTATACTTGTTCACTCTTGATACGGCAGGGAGCTCCGCTCTGTTCAACGGTTGGACAAGAAGTGTCTCCTCACCCAAATAACAATCTCTCTAAATAACAATCAAAACTTTTATATCTACAGGGCCGAATTCGAGTGAACAAGTCAACGAGACCACGTGTTCTTACAATTTCATTACTTTTTATTCAAGTATCATTACAATAAATAATTATAAAATTAATTAAAATATAAATTAGTGTTCTATGTACATTACAAGAATAATTTATTACCAAATTTGGTATAATAACAATTTTAACGTTTTATTATATTTAAAGTAGTTAGTCTGATTTTTGTTAATAAATGTAGGTACATATTTTAACACAAGATGTTTCAGAAAATTAATATAATTTAAAATAAATATCTAACATATTCATAAAAAATGACGATATAAAAGTGCTTGTAAACAAGTCTATTTAAATAAAGATTACTTGAATTTAATTTTAATTTGGTACACAGGTAGGCTATATTTTTACATAGCACATAGAATAATTTATATATTTACTAATGGATGTGGACGAAACCGCGGAGTAGAATTAGTGATATTATATTTTGTCATATCAGTATTGTCACCCCTTCAACATTATATCCCATATTATATTGATTTAAACTTAAACTTATATACAACTTTACATATATATATAAGATATTTACTGTGACTGTATTTTTCTGAAATCCCAATATTTAAACCCATGAGCAGCTCCCACACATAAGCGGCGAATCTATCGATAGAATCGATTCGGTTGGCGTATACGTGTGAAATAACAAGATGCCAGGTGTTGATATCTCTGTCAGATCAACTTCCACGTGTTCCCCCTGATAACAATATTGGTTTAATGTCTAGCAAATCTGTCACCACACATTTTTTCTAAATATTTATTTGCCAGAAACATGGTAAGTATACAGATGTTAAAACAATAATAAGGCCACATATTTCGCCACAATTAGATATGCAAAATTTAAAATACATAAATATTGATTGAACTAAATTATAAACAGTATTAACAATTAATATATATAAAAAATATGTCAAATACAATTTCATGTCAATTAATATACATCATTTCATGTCAGTGTCAGGGCTATTTACTAAAAAGTAGATAGATAGATAAATACTCTTTATTGTTTCCTCCATAAGATTACAATACTAAACTTTTTATAATAATAATAAATATAAACAATTACAAGAAAATGTTAAGCTAAGTAAACAGTAGGCGGTCTTATCGCTAAGAACCTTTGGATGATTTGATAAAAGTACAAGCACAAAGTAAGAGTTAGTAGGACCATCGTGAAGAATTTACCAGGAATTAACCACAATGATTTCCAATTAAAACCGCGTGGTGGTATATTGCTATGGGGCCACTAGGCCTCTTGACTGAGACTCCCCATTCCCCGTTTTAATAGTTATTATGGCCTTCGTTTGTAGAGATTTTTTCTGTCACAAGAAATAATTTTGTTTGCCCAACGGATTATAGCGGTCGGATGGAAGTCGGTTGAAGTGCAAATTACTATTTGCCTTACACTGTAAGCCTACCTTATCTACCTTCTTATATAAAGTGTACACGGAGTCAATAGATAGCTAAAAATAAATGTGACATGACTAGAATAGAATTACAGAAAGAAAGTTTAGAATTGGCGTTCTAATTATCACGAAACCTAAA